TACCACCTAATCAGTGTATCTGATGCTATTGATGAATACACGGAATGTAACTTTCACAAACATCTCTTTGATGATCTGCCTCCAGTCTCTGGAGTTAGTACTACTGCTGTAAATGAAGAATAAATGCAAAGATGGGTGTATTGACTATTTGCATGACAACAGAACAGACAAAATAGTTACACTGTCAGAACATACTACTATAGGAAAATGTTATCAGAGTTCCTTTACTGTATTTTAAATGTCAAGTAGGACCCCAACAGGCTGAAGCTGTGTTTTCAAAAAGCCTGTGTCCCACCCTTGAACAGCAACTGAAAATCATCACTACTGCCTCTCAGCAAGCATGAGAAATCATCTCCCTTTTCTGCTTGGTGTTTGAAAAAACTGGTACCAGGCACTGTTGCTGCTGTTGTTACAGAGTCCAGGGATGGATGGTGGCCTTCCCTGGGATTGAAAGGCTTGAGTATGCATGAAGTGCCATAAAGGGATATTTTGTATGTGTTTCTCATAAGGCAAACACAAATCAGGTGGAAATTATCCCTAAATTCTGTGGAGAACCATAAATGGGAAAATAGGAGGAGAGAGAAGGACAAAGGAATTAATGGCATTTGAGAGTGATACCTTTCTTTAATAAATTCAGGATCTGAGCCAGCCTCCACTGAAATCAATTGAAAAAACACCTTCGAGTTCCTGGGAGTTGAAGATAAAGCTGTAATGATGAACTTTGCTTAGCAATTGTCCAAAATGCTGCAGTTTGGACCTGCAGTTTGGACCTGCTGAATGGCTTGCTCATGTACCTGCATCCCCATCCTTGCGAAAATGAGACTTCAGCCTGTAAAACCTAGGCATGTCCTCGGGCGCAGATTAACTCCCTCCCCTGAGCTCTCCTAGAAGCACCTGCCACCCCCCAACCCTGCTCACCCCGGGGTGACAATGCCAGACCTGGCACAGAGGCCCTGTGTCGCCACGCTCCAGTTTTGCTACCTTTTCTCCATCGCTGCAATCCCAGCACATGAATTCCTTAAAGTAGGAGGGGAAGGAAGGGCTGGAAACAGTATTTTCATCTCTGCCGCCGGTTCTAGCTTGGCGAGGATGCCTCCAGCTTTAATAAACCAGATGATCAAAGCCTTGGTGTAAATCCTGTCATCAGGATAGAGGTTGCTCTTCTGTACTGACAGCACACCAGAGCCCTGCACGGCTCCCCCAAATCCTGCTTTTCTCAGCTGCAAGCTCTTGGCACCCAGATCATTCCCCTCCAGCGCAACACGGGAGGGCAACTGATGCCGGGGAGAGAGAAATCTTTCCAAACAGACGCTTTATTTTCCGGTAAACGAGAGATACAATATACATACTAGTGATCTGGGGCCATATTTTTTGTTCAGGCCTTCAAAATTTTGTTTCTCTTCTTTCCAGCCTTCTGAAAGATGCGTATCAGGGGCACCTGAGAGCAGCCAAAGCATCTGCCTGATAAGATCTTTACAATTCATTTGCACAACCATGCGTTTTGCAAAGGAAAAAAGAAAGTGTTAACGAGTTGACAAGCATACTCTTCCTTGCAGCAAGCAGCGCTGCCAGCCGCAATATTACTGCAGGGAGGAGAGAGCAGGGTGGTGGCAGAAGACCTTGAAAAAATGCTTTGTTCAATCCGGTTACAAAGACTCCTGCTTCCTTAATATACCAAATCCTAGCTGGCCGAGCAAGGCAATGGATTCAGTAGAAACTCGACTTGGTAACGATGAAGGGCGGCCTGTTGCTATCGAGATTTCAAGGACGAGTCCTTAGGGTGGGAAAAAAATAATGTTTAACCAAGAAGGATCAAAGCTAAAAAGGAGTGTTTGCTGGGCGTGTGGTTTCTGTACCACTGCAGTTCCAGATTCTGACCTGATGGCTGCAAATGAGGGTCTAACAGTGGTTTTACCTTCTGACACTGCCATTTGCAACTAGATCCTCAAATGATGCAAATTTGCCCAATCTCAGCTCAGCCTGAACACACACACACACAATCCTGCTTAGGAAAGAAAGGACCAAGACCGGATTTCAAGAATAACTTAGACAAGCAAGTGAATATTTTCTTTCATGCCTTGCTCTTTTGCATTTACTGAATTTGTTCCACATGAATGTAAAAACAGCTGCATCAGCACCAGCACTGAGGCTGGAACCTTATTAATATTTATGCCTGGAGAGCAGAACACACAGGAATCAAAATGCCTTCCCATCATTGGTTCGGGGACCCCAGCATCGGTACAGCATCTTGCCATGTTTGGTGGCCAGGCAAGCAGATTTATTAGAGAGCAGATCAATTTCTCATCAGCACTCTCACCCGATCACAGGAAAACTGCCCTTTGCCTCTTACCTGCTCTTTGCTTCTTGTCGTTCAATAATTTTCTAATTAGGGAAACCATTTCTCATCTCTCTTCTGCACTTCTGTGGTTTATATTCTCACCTATTAAATACAGTTGGAGACATTATTAGATGCTTGAATGATTAGTATTTCCTTATATATATAAGGGCATACCTGTAAGCCTCAGTATGAATGAGATGAAACAAGAAATAATATCGTGACAGATCCAGCATGTGCGGGGGGGTGAGGAGGGTGGGGGCTGTC